AAAATTGAATGTATTTTGACCTAAACAGGTGATTTGTACAACCACTATCCACAACCAGATGTACATTATTCATTACATTTGAATCACAGCTGACTGCAACTTCTTGTTTTGCATGACTACCACGAAATGCAATTTCTTTATTTTCTATAGCAGTTTGATGATTTTTAAACAATCTTTTTGGACATTTCGATTTAAAAAAATTTCAAGTTCTGCTGCTGTAACTTGTTTACTCAGATTAATAATAATAACACTAAGGATAATATCACTATTAAGTATTATATTTAATTAGAAAAGAAATCAGTTTTGTTGTTTTACAAGTACAAGTTAGTGTAAAGTGTACAGACACAGAGACTAGTGTTAAGTGACAAATAAGTCATCAAACATCAATAAAAAGAAAACATACATAAAATAATTATAGTACTGAATTATACAGCAACAATATTTCCCATTCTTTATACTTTTGTGATTTTTTTTTCACTACTTTCGCTTCACTATTTCCACTGTCACTTAATGACATGATTAATTTTCACTCTGCTTGAATAAAATCCGAAAGACAAAAGATAACTATAATATCCCTTCCAAGACAGGCTCAGTTGTTTTCGTGATGCGGGTAGCGAATTTCTCGAGGTAAGATAGCTTAATTTGCTTGCTGTTAAATGTTAAAGGTGCAGCATACATATACATATTTTCTATAAGAACAGTATATCCACCTACATATATTACACAATACAATCAAAAATTAAAGTAGTATACAAATACAAAGTATAATAGTAAAAATCATTTGATGAGGTCGCTAAATCGGGATATCGGTGGATTACTTCCGAAATCGGTAGAGTTGGCATCGCTGCATCTAACACTGGAACTCAATATACATTATTTCGTTAAATTTTATCGCAGCTCGGGGAATTCAACATTTTAAACATGTAAAACCCTTACATAACGATAGGAAACTCACAGTCTTTTTTTATCAATAAAATATCTAAACTGCAGATACATGGAAGATTACCAATTAACAATTAACAGCGTAATTAATAAACGAAGTATAAAACGTATACTCATAATAAATCAGGTATAGGCAAAATCACTACCAATAAACATGGAATAACTTAGATATAGGTTATACTTCATATAAGAATTTATTCCAGGATTATACCGACCCACACCCTTGTTTAAGTCTAGTATAACCCATTTTATGAATGTTAAAGTCATCAGTGACAAGAATATATGATTGTTTGTATTGTTTTGTTAGTAGCTATATAATAAAAAAATGTGTTTAAGAGGTGTTGGGCTGTCGAGGAAATTGATAATTTAATTAACTTGATGAAAATACACGAAAAAGAAAAACTTTTATAGAAAGAATAAATCCCTTTTTCAAAATACACTGATAGAGAATTTAGAATAAAATATCGGTTTTCGAAAGATGGTGTAAGGTTTTTTGCAATTTTAAAATACTCAACTCAACATATAAGCACAGTTTAACCACAAATAGACACACAAAGTTTAACCACAGTTTCTTTTTTATACTATAATATAAGATAACAAATAAAGATAAATTTGGTGTCAGTTGTCATTGTCAGTTTCAAAGAAAAATCAAAATTGACATATTTCACTCAATATGTCGTAATTCTATGTATTTGTGCAAAAGATTGCGGCATTGCCAAACTATTATTTCGGAATAAATTGGGAATACTTATAACTAACATAGAGCGAGTTTATATTGGCTAGCCTGGAACTAAAGTGGTCTAAGTAACAAAACCACTTTTTCGAGAAAATTAAAAAAATCCATTTTAATGTATAAATCGGTTGGTACAGGAACTAAAACCAAAATTTTTGTACAAAAGTTTAATTACGGTTACCAAAAATCTTACAAACATAAAAAAATCCTTACTGATAACTGAACTTCATTTTGTTAATTTTTTTTATTTAAAAATGTAACATAGACCATTTTAGAATTATTAAAAATAGTTAAGTAAACTTATTCATCCAAGTCTTCACCTCGAAATGGTGGTAGTATGTCTTCATTATCCTCCCTATCACCTCTGCGATTGTAATGGGGTAAAGAAAGATAAAATGGATGATGCACAGGAGGTACAAATTGTAGCATTTTTTTTATATCTTTCATTTTATTAAAAGATAAGGGTCTAATATCTGCGGCAACCTCCGGGGAAAAGTTTTTTAATACCTGTGCAAATTCTTGAAAAGAATTCATTTTATTTAGATCTATAGCATTATAAGTATCCGAGTAATCATCATTGAAAAACATTACCGATGTATCTTTGGAGAACTTAATTCTGCGTATTTGAGAAATCATGACGCCAGAACTCCGCAGGGCATGAGGTGACTTAAAAATCTTCAACTTGTCGAATGACACAAACTTATCCACCATGTTTTTTACACGAAATGGGTGGCGCTTTCGACAATTTGAAATTAATTCCATCCATGCTTCAGGAGTGTACACTGGGGTTAAATTCTGTGCCCTACTAATAAATGAAAAATCGCCATCGTTTGGTAAATATGTGTGACCGGTAACCAGATAATTTACATAGATATCTTGAATGTTCGGTAAAACGTTAACCATGTACATAAGAAAATGTAACAAATTCCAGTTCCGATTTTGTCCCCCACAACAGTCACTAAAGAGAACAAGTTTTGTAGCATGAGGAGGAATGTCATTTTTAAAATAGTGATATAAACAACTTATCACTTCTTGAGAACCTCTAGCCCCTTTGGTCTCATACCACATGTTCATAAAAACGTTTTCTCCACCACTTTCATAAGTATGAATTCCTAAGTTTAACATATGCATCTGCCTTAAGTAATACACCTCACCGGTATTTATGTGAGGTAAGGGAAGTGTTCTTTCCAAATCAAATGTAATTAATACACCTGTACTGTCCGGCTTCACACACTCGTTTTTGTAATCTTTCAGAAGTTTCCTAGCTTTTTGAGCCAGAGCAATATGCTGGTCCCTTTCTATTTTTACTTGTTCTGATTTTTCTTTATTACTTTCGGCATTTAAACTTATTTGAAATGCATCGCAAAATTTGCAAGTATCTTTTTTAGGTATATAGAAATGAATATTAAATTCGGTTCTAAAGATTTTTTCATAGATACTTTTTTTAAGAACTGGTTTTCCTTCAATAATTAATTTACATTTAAACAGTTCGTACATTTTGGAAATATTTAAAGAGGGTGCAAAATATTGGCGCTTTGAGGTTCTTTCTCCATAGTGGCTCTTAAATTTAGGAAAACTATTAATGTGATCACGAATCCACTTCAATTTCTCCTCGTTTATTTTATTTCCAGGAACTTTTCTTCCTCTTCGATCGGGGGAAGGGATATCACTATTTTCGGCTTTTTTTACTCTTAGTGCATAATCTAATCGATGATTACTTATTTGTAATACTTTAAAAAAAAAATTTACACACGTTCTGACCATTTAGTTGAAATATCCGTGAATATTGTTTACGACTCACAGATTCTGGGTGTATTTTTTTCGGGGACGTTTAGGTGCTTTAGTTCTAACTGTACCACACAACCAGCTAGTTTGAGCGTTCCAATCCTGTAGTTTGTAAAATCTGTCATGTACCTCTCTCTGGACATTCTCTGGCACTCTATTACTGCATTTTAGACGACAATTACATTCAATGTAAAAAAACGTTTTAGCGGCCATAACTTTCCCTTTTATACTAGTGTATTTCTCTCCTGAAGCTCTACATCTCTTTCTGACGTATTTCCCCCATAAAGCCTCTTGTTTCATTTTCTTTCTTCCCTTTCTTACTTCAGTTTCGTCCGGTTCTTGAATTTCCCCAAGATTTTCCATGTTTTGATTCAACAACACAGGTTCATGTTCAACATCGGAATCTGTAACAAGAGGAGGTAGTTCAGTATGTTTACTTAAAACAATAACATTATGTAACGTTGCGATGCGTTAAAGCTTTGTTTTAATTAAGCTGTTATAATGGTTTTAAAATAACTCTTAAAATACCCATTAGGGGCAGACAAATTTAACAAAAATGTAGCTTATTTTGTTTTAATATATTAATTTCTTTGAAAAATAAAAAATATGGCAACAGTGCGCATCAACAGATTAATGTAAAAACATCAGCACGTGGATTTTCCTACTAGTTACTACAATCACTTTCTTTTTAAAATCAATTGCTTCCCTCATTGGTTACTAAACTATAATATTTTATTTAAACATGCACTTACTTGTATTTGTGTTACTATCTCTTGCATCAGAATCGCTGCCATCATTATTTGAAGGTATGTACTCATCTTCACTTGAACCGGGATAAGGTTCTGAATCAGTTTCGTCATGAAATTGTCTCGCAGCTTCCACTAGTCTGCGTGTACGAGACCTTATTGAAATATTCGTAGTCATTTTTCACATTAACACAACCGATCTACTAACTAAATAACTGCAACCTCCCGGTTTGAGGTTAGTACCAATGACATTAGCGCCACAGTGTTGCCGCTCTATTAATAATTGTTGATTAATGTGCTTCATAGACCACTTTAGAATTTAGAATTTTTACATTGGTAGAAATCAATAGGTCTATGATGCATAGTGTTACATAGACCCCTTACGAATTTTAACAAATTTCAATTTCCCAAAAGTAAAAGTGGTACATTGTTATTTTACGGACTCTGACTGAGATTTAGACATAGACCACTTTAGTACTGATAGATTACTAGCTTTTAAAGTCAAATATAACAAAATCTCAATTTTCATACATATGCGACATAGACCACTTTAGCTCCAGGCTAGCCATTTATAACAAATTATTTTAGTATTACATTTACCTTATACTTAGGACAACTAGTAATAGTAGTAAGATCTGTGAAGTAATAGCCAACGATTGTGAGTTGGGGTCAAATCAGACCCCGGTCAGTCCGATGAAGGTTAAGAATCTTCTTTCGTGCATTTCATATACTTGTTCAGTAAATTACTATTAATTTTTTTATATCATATACTTATGTCATATTTTATTTTTTAGCTGTGGGTGACAGAAGATTTCGGAAAATCATTCCGGATGGTACATGAATTTGTTAAGGCTTTCTACTGGTTGAAAGATGCGAATGACGAATACCGTATTGTCGTGCAAAGGTCCGAACCGAATGATTTGAGCACAATTCTTCATTCGATGAATTTGTTCAAAAATAGAGCGTCTCAAATTTATGTTTCAAACGTGAAAGATTTCTTCATCAAAGGAGACTATCTTTTTAGTACAAAATATAATGACAAGGTAAGTGACTTCGTTATTTAAAATAAGCAAAATTTTTTAAATTAAAACTCTGATTCATGTTCGGCTAAGAATAAACAGTATTTAATTTTAGTGAAAGATTACTACTTGTCTTGCGATCACAATTTTTTGTGACGATATGAATCTACAATGTTCAATACACTTAGTATAGGACTCGTCAGCTAGGAAGAACCAGCGAAAATTCTCATTTTTATACCGTTCAATCCGAAATGCTTTAACACCGATCACAACACGGATCTCTGTTATCCCTCCGTTCATCGGGTGACCATTCTGAAACACTTTCGGTCGGGTGCGGTCTGTGAGGACCAAAATGAAATACCGCCTCCGAGCAACAGCATACATTCTATTGCTAATTTCTCATCAACGTGTTTTAAATAAATCATTTACTATATTATAATGTTTATTACAGAAACAATTCTACATTTTTTTTAAGTTGTATTAGGTAAATTTTAAACATGTTTACAATTTCAACGCATATTTTTTCAAATTCGTGAACAGCAACTAAATAATGAAAAAAAACAAAAAAATATTTAAAACTTTAATTAGAAACAAACAAGTACTACTATTTCAAGTGATCTGGCATGCATTTCGAATAGTTTTTATAAACCGTATTTTATTAGCTCTAAAATGCAGGCCATTCACGTTCCGACTTGTGGTACGACTAGTGGTCCAACTTCTGCAGTTGGATCTGAAATCGGACCGTGAGTGGGCTAGTTGGATTAGTTGCTTGGACAACTAGTGGTACGACTAGTGGGACGACTTGAAGATCCGACTTCCGACTGGCGACGAAAGTCGGAGCGTGAATGGTGATGTTGGAAGTCGGATCACAGGTTGGATCGAAAATTTCCTCAGTCAGTTGACTTTCGGCACCTGTTACGTATGAGATTTCTATGAAATACTTTACGCAAAGATCTCTAGTTCGCGAATATTTAATAGAAAATAAACTTTCAATTGCACGAAAAATTATTCCTATTAAAAATATACGACACACACACAACAACATAAATCCCAGCTCCAGTTTAAAACAAATAAAATATAGATTTTATACCTATACAAATCTTTAAAACTATCATTTTTTCCTACATCTTAAAAAGTCATAAAAATAAAGAGTTGAAAAAATTAATTAGTTCAGCACTACACAAATAACGAGAGAAACGAAACCTAATTTTTAAACATACATATCATATATATTTTGCGTAGTGTTTTATTCGATACATTTTTTGGTTAAGCGATGTACACCATCGTGAAAACAACTTGTTGTGTGTGTGTGGTGTGCGTGTTGGTGTGTGTGTGTGGTGTGTGGTGTGTGTAGTGTGTGTTTGGTGTGTGTGTGTTGTGTGTGGTGTGATGTGTGGGGGGTGTGTGTGTTTGGTGTGTGAGGTGTGTGTGTGTGTGGTGTGTGTGTGTGTTTGTGGTGTGGTGTGGGTTGGGTGTGTGGTGTGTGATGGTAGGGTGTGTTGTGTGGTGTGTGTGGGGGTGTGTGTGTGGTGTGTGTGTGTGTGGTGTGGGTGTGTGTGTTGTGTGTGTGTGTGTGTGTGGGGTGTGTTGGGGTGTGTGTGGTGTGTGGTGTGGGTGGTGTCGTTTGGGTGTGGTGTGTGTGTGTGTGTGTGTGGTTGTGTGTGTTGTGTGTGTGGGTGGTGTGTGTGGGTGTGTTGTGAGTGTGTGTGGGTGTGGGTGTGTGGTGTGTGTGTGTGTGTCGTGGTGTGTGGTGTGTGTTTGGTGTGTGTGTGTGTGTGTGGTGTGTGTGTGGTGTGTGTGTGGGGGGTGTGTGGTGTGGGGTGGTGTGGGTGTGGTGTGTGTGTGTGTGTGTGGGGTCGTGGTGGTGGGTGTCGGGTGTGGTTGTGTGTGTGTGTGTGTGTGTGTGATTTGGTGTGTGTGGGTCGATGGCTGTTGGTGTGGGGGGGTGTGTGTGGTGTGGTCGGTTGGGTGTGTGTGTGGTAGTCGTGGTGTGGTCGTGAGGTGTGTGTGTGTGTGTGTGTGTGTGTGTGTGTGTGTGGTAGTGTGTGTGGTGTGTGTGCTGGGGTGTGAAGTGTGTGAGTGTGTGGGTGTGGTGTGTGTGTGGTGGGCGGTGATGTGTGTGTCGTTGTGTGTGTGTGTGTGTGTGTGATGGTGGGTGTGTGTGGGTGTGTGGTGGGTGGGCGGGTGGTGGGTGGTGGTTTGTGTGTGTGGTTGTGTGTGTGTGGGTGTGGTGTGGGTGTGTGCGGGTGGGTGTGTGGTGGTGGTGGTGTAGGGTGGGGGTGTGCTGTGTGTGGTGTGTGTGTAGTGTGTGCTGTGGGGCTGTAGTGTGTGTGTGTGGGTGTGTGTGTGCTTGGGGTGGTGGGTTGTGGGTAGTTGGGGGTGGGTGTGGTTGTGGTGTGTGGGGTGTGGGTGGGGTGGTGGTGTGTGGGGTGTGGGGTGTGGTTGGTGGGGGGTGTTGTGGTGTGGTGGGTTGGGTCGTGGAGGGGTGGGTGTGGTGTGGGTGTGTGTGTGTGTGTGGGTTTGGGTGTGTTGTGTGGTGGTGTGGGTGTGTGGGTGGGTGTGGTGTGGGTGTGGGTGTGGGGTGTGGGTGGTGGGTGTGTGGTTGTGGGTGGTGGTGTGTTGTGTGGTGGGGGGTGGTGTGTGGTTGTGTGTGTGGTGTGATGGGGTGTGGTGTGGTTGTGTGTGTGTGGTGGTGGTGTGTGTGGGTGGTGGTGGTGTGTGTGGTGTGGTGTGGTGTGTGTTGTGTGGTGGGGTGTGGTGTGTGTTGTGTGTGTGTGTGGGTGTGTGGGTGGGTGTGTTGTGTGGGTGGGTGTTGTGGGGTGTGGTGATGTGGGGGTGTGTGCTGTGTCTGGTGTGTGTGTGTGGGTGTGTGTGGTGTGTGTGGGTGTGTGTGTAGGGGGTGGGGGTGTGTGTGCTGTCGAGTTGTGTGTGTTGTGAGGTGTGTGGGGGTGTGTGTGTGGGTAGGTGGTGTGTGGTGTGTGTAGATGGTGTGGGGGTGTGTAGGTGTTGGGGGCGTGTGTGTGTGTGTGTGGGCGTGTGTGTGCTCGTGCTTGGGGTGTCGGGGTGTGGGTGTGTGTGTGGTGTGTGGGGTGTGGGTGCTGTGTGTGTGGGTCGTTGTGTGTGTGGTGTGGGTGTGGGTGTGCTGTGTAGTGTGGGTGTGGGTGTGTGGTCGGTGTGTGTGGGTGTTGTGTGTGGGTGTGTGTGGCGGTTGGGGTGGGTGCGCGTGGGGTGTGTGTGTGGGTGTCGTGTGGGGTGTGGGTGTGTCGTGGGTGTGGTGCTGGGTGTTGTGTGTGTGCGGGTGTGTGGTGTGGTGTGGGGGTGTGTGGGGGGGTGTGTGTGTGTGTGTGGGTGGGGGTGTGTGTGGTGGGTGGCGATGGGTGTAGCGTGTGTGTGTCGTGTGGTGTAGTGGAGACGAACATCCAACTGTAGTCTACTAAGTGGACCACAAGTCGGAACGTGAATGGCCTGTCTTATGCAGGCCATTCACGTTCCGACTTGTGGTACGACTAGTGGTCCAACTTCTGCAGTTGGATCTGAAATCGGACGTGAGTGGGCTAGTTGGATTAGTTGGACAACTAGTGGTACGACTAGTGGGACGACTTGTAAGATCCGACTTCCGACTGGCGACAAAGTCGGAGCGTGAATGGTGAAGTTGGAAGTCGGATCACAGGTTGGATCGAAAATTTCCTCAGTCAGTTGACCTTCGGCACCTGTTACGTATGAGATCTCTATGAAATACTTTACGCAAAGATCTCTAGTTCGCGAATATTTAATAGAAAATAAACTTTCAATTGCACGAAAATTACCTTTTGTTAGGGCAAATAATTTTCCTTTCTGTAGATCTATTTCGGACATTCCCATACAGGTAAATTTCCGATACTCCGGATTGGCTACGGAAGAATTATCAACAAACAATGAAAGTTAAATCATAGTTGTAGCAAAAGATCCCTAGTTTGCAAAAAAATAATAGAAAATAACTTTCTAATTGCACGAAAAATTATTCCTATTAAAAATATACGACACACACACAACAAAATAAATCCAGCTCCAGTTTAAAACAAATAAAATATAGATTTTATACCTACACAAATCTTTAAAAACTATAATTTTTTCCTACATCTTAAAAAGTCATAAAAATCAAGAGTTGAAAAAATTAATTAGTTCAGCTCCTAGACAAATAACTAGAGAAACGAAACCTAATTTTTAAACATACTCATCATAACATACATATAAGGATAACAAGCACAATGCTGCCATTTTCCATCCCTAATTATATTTTGCGTACTGTTTATTTGATACATTTTTTGATTAAGCGATGTACACCATCGTGAAAAACAAACTAGAACTGAAGTTGGACCGCTAGTTGGATCGAAAGTCGGAGCGTGAGTGGAGACGAACATCCAACTAGTAGTCCTACTAAGTGGGACCACAAGTCGGAACGTGAATGGCCTGTCTTAGTGTATTCGATCTGGGCCTCTACTTTTTATCAGAGGTAAAAAGTACTTGATTGATGTGCAAACTAGAACTTAAGACAAAAAAGACAATGTGTGTGTGTATATGTTTTATTGGCACTAGTTACAAAAAAGACAATAAAGACAATAAAAATCAAATGTAGTAAACACAAAAAAGAAGTTCATCAGCTGGGATTTTTTTTAAATGTTGTCTCGGTTTTAAAAGTTCTGTCATAAATATTTTTTCTCATCATAAATGTTATCTTTTTGTCATTTTCCATAATATTATTGCATAATTGAAGAGTTGTTTATTAGTGAAGAATGATTAATAATTTAATAATTTCCTTTGTTTCATTATCATCGATACGTGTTTTTGTTTAGGAGTACATTTTATTTAGGTGTGTATGACTAAGAGTATTCAAAGATTATAATAATGTTGTGATAGTATTAATGATTGTTGTATAGTTATTTTATTACATTACTTATCAAAGCTTGTAATTAAAACTGTATTTTTAATATGGAATTATATATAAACATTCTTGAAATTTTATTCGTATACGGGTTTCACATAAA